TGCCCCAGGGAAAAACAGAGACAGTGGCTATTTCCCTGCTTTGGAGGCTGTGCCACAGCTACTGCTTTGACGGAAAATGGGCAGAAGCAGCCACATTTTAACACCCTCACATGCACTTACCTCTTCTCGTGCTTAGGGAGCAGAAGACCAAAAGTGCTGCTCTGGAGTCTCGTCTAAGGGAGCTGCAGAGTTTGAAGGTGATCATGAAACATATCTTTCACCAATTTCTGCCCCATTATTTTGCTCAAAAAGCCATTCTAACAACCAGTTAGCAAAAACTTTGCATCCCCAAGGCAAAAAGGAAGGGGTTAATTTTTACCCCCTTCCTCCAGGATCTAACCACTTGCAGTGGCCAAGGCTGGATCCGTCCCTGACCTGCACATGGAGTCCTGCACCTTGTGCAGGGCTGATCTGAAAGCACCAGCACTGGGAGTCACTTCTCCCTTTGCTATCAGAGCTTTACCTTTTCCTTTCAAAGCCTTAAATTCCACTGGTTCTGATCTCGCTGAACACCCAGACAGCAGGGAGTCCAAAGGCAGAAACAACTTCTCAGCCTTGGCTGGGGCTGCTGGCAGTGCTGGGAGGTTCCTGGGTGAGCACCCAGCAGCAAGGGCCATGCCCCCTGCTCTTGTCCCCACGTCACAGACCCCAGCACTGGGGACAGTGCTCACCAGGAGCATTGGCAGCAACACATGCCCACCTTCCAACTCTCCTTTTGCTCCCTGCCTGCAGCTGCCTTCTAAAGGAACATGGGAACTTGCAGGAGCTGCTCCCTCACAGCTCCCTCGAGCATCATCTTGCACTTTATTTGCTGTGCACATCGTTGTGGCTCTGACCCTTGGAGACACCCAGCCCTGCCACGTGTGCTGCCCTGGGACACAGCCAGGAGGAGAAAGCAAGGAAGAAAGAAAGGAAACAAAAGCCTCACATCCCAACAGGGACAGCATTAACCAGAGGCTCTTCTCCAGATCCCTCCCCTTAGTCAGGGCAGCTGGGGCTGAGAAATCCAGCACCAGGTCACAGTCCTGCTGCCAAGGGAATACCAGAATCAGACTCCATGGCTGGTAAAAGAAACACATCCAGAACACACAGAGTTTATTAAAACATGCATTTTGTGATCAGTGTTTCCAGATTTACAGCAGAATTTATGCCTTACATAAAAGTCATATTGTATCTCTCCACACCCTGTCAATAATTAGCCCATGAGAACACATATAGTTTGACCACCTCTCCTCCAAACACCTTCAAGCCATCCTTTGAAGGTGTGCCTTCACAAAGGGTCAGTCCTTCTCACCCTAAAATACAGCTTAAAAAAAAAAAAACAAACTCAAGCTTCTTCCAAACATGTTTGCACCTCTCAAAGAAGAGAAACCAGACCAAAAAATTACCATATTTCCTGCCATGATTCACACAGAAGTAGCCCCCTTATATAATATACCTGTTGTGTAAGGTCTTCTGGTGACCCTGACCACATCTCTGAGCCACCAGTGCTCCTGTCCCTTACATACCCCCACATGCCAAGCCCACCACACCATCCTGGCTCTCCTCTGCAATAAATCCCAGCACTCTGCTCAGCAATCAGCCACAGGTTCAGACCTGCAATTACTTGTGGGACAGTTATTTATTAGTCAGTGTCCAGCTGCCAGATTTACAGTCACAGATGCTTGATGCAGTTTCAAGCAGAAAACAGCCAAGCATCCATGTCTGTAAATAAGCTATTGGGACATCTGGATGACCTGTGGATCCAGCTGTAATTACTTATAGGTGGCACAGACAGGTCCTGTTAAGCCTTGCTAAAACCTGTCCCCAGAGCCTGCGGGCACAACTCCAGCAGATGTGCTGGATGAGCAACCAAAAGCATCTCAAAGTCACCTCAGATCCAAGTGTTACCGAACTCCACAGAAGGAAAGAAAAGCAAAGCTGTTGAACTGGGCTCATGTGTTGCTAAAGAGCAGCTGGGTCAGGAATTTCCTTCACCTGTGTTCTTGTACCATCACTGAAGCTACAGCTTGGCAGCAGAACCGGGAGAGATCCTCCCCTCAGCACTGGAAACCCAAAAAATACCTCCTGCTGCTAATGGGTGATTTTCCATGACCTGTCTGGGGCTATCACTGCTGGTACAAGGTCTTATAATCCATAGAGTCACCACAGGGATTTTCCCATGTAAATCTCTTTGGGAAAGAGCCAAGCTCCTGGGTAAGCCCAGATGTCAGCAATGCTCTCACAGTCACCCTGGATTTGAACATCTGCAAACCCACTGCTGAACTGCCTCCAGCAAGATGGGAGCTGACAGGGGTGGTGGCACAGCAGCAGCTGCAGGGATGTGAGCTCCTGGCTCCTCCAACTCCATCCCTCCCAGAGCAGGGGCTGTGGCACAGGAGACCTGGCAGTGCTACCGCCACCAAACAGCAATTTTGTGAGGAAAAGAAACTCCAAAAGCAGTTTAGAAACACTCAGTCACTCTACAGAATATGAGGAGCAGACCACAGCAGTTGGCTGAGAACATTTATGGGGTCAGAGCTGAGTTATCCAAGATGTGGTGTGGCGAGGGGATTGGGCTGTAGAACCACGTGCTACAACTGTAACAGGACCCCATGCCCACAACACCAACACCTTGGTTTTGTGACTCCCCTGGCAGACAGCCCAAGGGCCAGAGGGTCTCCCCTTGCTTTGCACAGAACAGACACCTCCTGTGTCATCCACCGATTTCTTTAGAAGGCCTCAGCTTTTCACAGCAGCTTCCTACACAGGTACTGGCCCCACTGAACACACAGGGTGGCTGCTAATGTACACAGAGCCTGGGACTGCACCTGCTGGGCCATAATCCCTGGACCCCACGGCCCCAGCACCATCTCCACTTGTTGGAGCACAAGGTCCAGCTTCAGCATCTCCCTCACCCACCTCTGGTGCTAGAGAGGGATGGCACCTTCATTGTCATCAAGGCCTAAAGGACACGGATCCCCAAGGGCCCACAGTGCAAAAAGCAGGTCAAGTTAAGGACAAACACGTAGTTTTACTGCTGGCAAGTACACGAGAAAGGATCCTCTCTCTGCCCAGGGGAGCAGGGAGGTCAGGCATGGGCAGTCATCTTCTCAGCCAGAGCCACGTGTTGATGAGGCAGGCAGAGATCATCACAGAGTAGACCAGGGCCTCCTTCTGTTGCCAGGCATGGCACTGCTCCTCCAGCACACGGAGCCTCCCCGAGATCCTCGCCAGCTGCAAGGGAAGCAGTGGGGCCAGAGTCAGCCCTGCAGCAAAGCACAGCACACTGGCTGCACCCCAGAGGCATGGGACAGCACAGGATGGAGGGATGGGAGCTGATGACTTCTTCAGGTCCTCCTTTGCTAAAGAGAGAGCTATCTTTGTGGGGGAGAATTGGTACCAGTGCCTCAGGTCTGCAGCAGATGCTTCAGGAAAAGGTCCTTCCCATCAGAAGAGTGAGCCCCTCTCCCTACCTGCAGACAGAGGGGTCTGTCTGTCTCCTGCAGCCCTACAGCCCCTGGGGGTAGGAGCTCAACAGGTCAACACACGTGCAAGTCCTCTCCTGCTTCTCCATTAGGTAGGACCAGCATGACAGCACCAGCCCATCAGGACTGAGCAACAGACCCCTGGAGACTCCTCACCCACCCTCCCTCCCGTGGCTTTCCCAGGGAACATCTGCAGCCCTTCTCCCCCCAGTCTCACCTGCTTTCTCATCGCTGCCACCTCAGACACCCCAACCTCCTCCAAGGTGCTCTCTGTGGCTGGACCAGCCTCCTGGGAGCTGGGAAAGGAAAACAGAGATGGAGGTGGATCAGCACTGCTTAAGGGGTGCAGCTGTCCCCCCACAAGCACTGCCACGGGGAGCCGGGTCATGCAGGCAGAGTGTGTGTGCCCAGGTTGTGCTGCCTGGATGCAGCACCAGGAGAAAGGAAACAGCACCTGCACAGCATCTGCTCATCTCTTCTTAACCCCCACCATGCATACTTATACCCCTCTACCATGCACCCAAAGGGATCACAACAAAACACACAGTACATGCCATGACAGGTAACAGGGAACACACATGCTTGTATTTCTTTAGAATCCAACAGAGAGAAAACTTATCTACCAAGCATCCATTCTCTACAGTCCCAGGAATTCACTGAGGGTTGGATCTTAGAGCCATCTTTAGAGTCAGACAGGTAAATATGTGTGACAGGGCCAAAATGGAGGGATGATCTCATTTACAGCAGCAGGTGAGGATCCCACAGGTGGAAGGAACTATCACTTCTTGCTCTTATAGCAAACTTCACCTGCAACTTGAAACATAAACAAGCAACCCAAACATTCACCACTTTCTTCCACTCCTGAAAACACAGGGGCTGCCTCTGGGATTAGCTGCTGTACTGGGATTCCCTGGGGATAAAGCCTCACTGCAGGGTCTACAGCACCAAGCCACAAACCAAAGTAGATCCAACAGTGAGAAAAATCAAAATTGCCATGTTCAGTCTGTCATCCCTGTCACCACGGGCTAGCCCAAAATCAGCTGTTCTACAACCAAAACTCCCCCATGCACCAGCAAAACACAGGCACTCACTGATCCCACAGGGCTTAACAAGCATCTAACCCTGCTCCTTGGAGACCCTGGGGAGGAGAGGGTGTTTATTCCTGTTTGAAACATGTTGATCTCACTGAAGACAAGGCAGATGAGCATGTGGAGATTCAGCAAATCTCTGACTGAAAATACATTTGTGAGATAATACCTCCATATAATGCAGCTGCAGTGTAAAATGCCAGTCACAACAGAAAGCAAATACAATTTCCCCCAGCACAGAACCGTGGAAAAAGGACACATCCTGCAGCTTTTGACTCAAAATCCCAGTTGATACAGGTGAACAACCTTTAGAATAGAAACTAGAAATTACCTTCTGATGACTCATACCCTTCAAGAGGTCACTGGCAGGCAAATATTCCAGTCTCTGTTTGAGACCAGACTTTTCTTTACTAAAATTTGAGGACAAACAAGTCAGCACAGTCTTTTTTTTCTTTATTTTTACTTTTGCACAGAGGCACAAAGTTGATGTATCAGAGGGATCTTGCCTGCATCTGAAGGGATGCAAAGTACCAAGAAGAGGTGTTTGAAGGTGGCTGCTTTCAAAGGGAGACTGAGACCTGGGGAGAGGCCTGGGAGTCACCCAGGCTAAAATGGCATAAATGTCCTCCACTGCTGATGGGAGGAGGGAGAAGGCTTTATGTAGCCACTAACCAGATCTGCTGGCATGCCCAGACTTCATTAAGAAATTAAACAGTTTGAAGGCAGCCTCAGCCTACTGTGTTTAAAAGCAGGGACATCACTTTGTACCACTGGCAAGCAGAGGCCGGCTGGGGAGGGAAGGCAGGATGTGCCACTGATGATGGATGC